AAAGAATGACTTTGGGCCCTTACTCCTTTGCGTTAAGAACACAATTGTTTGTTTTGTTTTGTTTTGTTTTTTTCCCAATAATAATCAGATACTGTATTTCCCTTGGGTAAAATGGGTAAAGTGTGCTATTGATAAGTTTCAATGGTCCTATGGATGTCCAGGCTCTGGCCAGTATTGATGCCTTGACTGGTGAAAGGTGTGTAAGTCCTAAATCTGGGCTCCCAGCACACCGTTTTCAAAATACTGGGAGATGGCCACATGTATCAAAGGGCTCTGGGATTTGGTGTCATGTTGAAGAGGAGCTCCTAACTAAGGAAAGAAAGAAGCAGGATACCAGACTGAACATGTAGCATAGCTATAGCAGAAAGCAACCTGATGCTAGGATGCACGTTAAGGAAGTTGATACATGCTATATATTGGAGGGCAGAGAAAACATCAGGAAAAGGAGAGCTAGAGAGAGAAGCAGAGGAAGCTGTGTAGCATTCAAACACCTTTCAGTGAAACAGTAAGTTCTTTCTTGGTCTCTTCATCCCAGCATTCAGAACATAAAACAATGTGATTATTTTTTCCAAGGAAAGGCAATGAGGTACACCATGAGAGACAAGTGGACTAACAGCAAGCAAGGACCAAAGCATTCAGTCCTCTCATTTCTTTGCCTGTATGTAGCTGCAAACATGTGGGACATCTAGAAAACACCTAGGTTCTCCATGTCTCCTTTCCTGAAACACCAGCACAGGAGACATTTAAAAGAGTCTGGAGGTTATGGTAATACTTCCTTAATTCTTTGCCATAATTTGACAGCGCCCTCACCTCTCCCCCAATAAGCTGTGAGTTTAGAGATGGAAGGTGTAAAAGCGATCAGAGATTAGAAATCTTCTTGTCATGGCTCCAGGAAATTTCTACATTCCTTAGTACCTGAGAACTAACCTCTGCCCTATCTGTGATTTAACATTAATTTCTTATCTCCTACTCTCTCACGTACGTGATAGCAAGGAAATTCTCACTTACAGGAACAGTCTGCATGGCAAGGGATGTCCTAGAAACCTGGAGGTGTGGCAGACAAGCAGATGGGGATGGTGAGAGGATCATCCCTCTAGGACTGGAAAGATGCTGTGGGCTGTGTAGATGGAGACATAAATGTGTGCTTCATAAAGGCAGAGCTTTGCACAGTGGCTTCATTGGGTATGTGAGGATGGTCTAAATGAAAAAAATGGACATGTTTGACTATGTCCTTTTATAGATCCATTTAGCTTTTCATCCACCTGCCTCAGTGATACCATTTTGCCTTTACAGAATCTGTGATTTATTTAAAACTAAATGAAACAGAGGACATTTGCTCTGTGTAAAATAGCAATACATTGCATGTACAGTAATAGTATCATGAATATATAAGTATTAAGTATTAGTATGAGTTTACTCTACAAATAGATGTGTAAATGAAGGGGAGGGAGGTGATGGAATACTAATATCTGAAACCTATCCCTACCAGACCTGGTTCCTGGCTGAGAACTCTAGATTCCATGCAAACACTAGTAATAAGAGTCACTTTATTCTAGCCACAATACTACAGACAAGATGTCATGAATGCTTGGGAGATAGATACGACAGACAGATTTCTTGTTTTCCACTGAGATGGTTTTGAATGCATCCTGGCAGGGCTGACTCACCCTTTTAGCTTTCCAAGGAAGACAAATTGCTTTCCAGGAGCTTCTGCTGCATACAGGTTATTTTTGAGTGCTTCCTTAATTAAGGTTTATCTGCTGTGCACATAATCCATAGATGAAACACTCTTGGGGCTTTTTTTTTGTGTGAACCGAAGTTTCCCCCTGAACAACCTGTTTCTCACCCAACCCATTGTTACACAACACGACACATATACTTTATGGATACCGTGTCCTACCCTAGAAGTAGCTGCAGGGCAGTAGCATGAAAAAAAAGTAATTTCAAATGCCTGGGATGCTTTACTGGGGAAGGACTGAATAGAAACAGGATTCCTGAGGGCCACAGTTGGCAAAGACAAACCATTAGTACATTTCTTTCATCCAGGATCTTGAACTCCACCTCTTCCCCAGTCTCATGTTTCTTATCTTTTGTATCTGAAATTATGCTGAAAGCACCCTACTGGAAATACATTTTGCAGTTGCACAACTTGGGATCTGGCAAGGACTCAGTTGGATGTCATCCCAATTGGGAGAAGAGGACAATGATGTCATCCCTGGAATCACAAAGGAGCCTTTTAGCTCTGCTAGAAGGTGCAGGTGGGAGGTTTGGTCTGATGTTCCTGGAGAGAAGTGCTCTCCCATCCCCTGCCAGGTCAGGGGCTGACAGGGATGCAGGGCCAACCCTGTGCCTCACTGTGTCCTGGGCCCTGGCTAGTAGGGGAAGGAGATAAACTTTTACAAGGCTGCATAGCCTGGGTAACAGAGCAGCTCCTCTGGAGTCAGAAAGTCAGGCATGCAGCAGTCCATGAACTGTAATAGCTGTGTGGGTTGGTGTAGGAAGTATGTGGGATGTGAGAGCAACAAGGCCAGGGGCAAGAGAGATCTCCCTTCAGTCCAGGGATTAACAATTCTGCCACATTCACTAATGGTTTCACAGGAATCAGGCGTGGGGACTGGACCCTTAAGGCCTTATAGCTGTGTCTAAACTGTCTTTCCAGTCTCCCAGTCTTGCTGCTGTTTGAGACTAGTCTCAGTCCTTGGGGAGAAGGAGTCAAAGCTACAGCATTTAAGTGTCCTACAGTTCTCTGAAGGAGTATCAGTCTATTTTCATGTTGCTGTGGCTATGGTGTAATGCTGGCATATCCAAGATCTTCTTAAACCAGCTAGTTCAGGTATTAGGAGTTAGGTTACCACAGCAACACAGGATTTACTGCAAGATGCAAAACTTGTCTAAGGAACAGGATGGATGAGCCTGTGTGGAGCTCTGCACTATCTGGCTGCTTTAAACATACTTCCAATTTGGTTCCACCTCCTTGTGCTGAAGTAGGCTGAAAATCTTACCCAGATGCTGAATGACAGTGTTGAGCTAGCTTTGCAAGACACACGAATGGTTGCAGTCTCTTGGTGCCTGTATTGTCTTTGCATGTAACCATCACCTGCTCTCTGACAAGCTGAGACAAACAGGAAAAGCCCAGTTTCCATTCTGTGTCATTTAATGCACTTGGGGAAGTGTAGACATGATGCTCAGCCTTGTGATTAGTGCAACAACCATTTTGTCCCTGGACATGGTCAGGAGCAGAAAAACTCCTTGAGCAGAATTCTGTGTATTTACATATTCATTCACAGCCTTTTTCACCCCCTACATAAGCATCCTGTGCCCCTCCCATCTCACTTCCTGCTATGTACAGGCCCATCCACATCCCTGCACAGCTGTGTAGGATGGCTCTTTTCCTTGATGATTTGGGGATGCCGACTCCTTGGCCACCATACCCACTTAAGGAGTGTTGGGCACCAATGCTAGGGTGAGGGATTTGTGCTCACTGGGGACCCAGGGGGACATAGGGAGTACCACCTCTGGCATGGCAGTGGACACCAGGTTTGTTCCCTGGCTGAGCATCGCTCCCATGTTTGCTTGGCCCTGTCTTGTGCTGTGGAAATGATCACTTCCAGTCTGTTTCCCAGGAATTGCTGCTGCTGTGGCCACTCTTCTTTCCCCCTCTCTACAGTCATGTTGTTTCCAGTGGCACACTTGCACATTGTAGTGGCTTCTTCTCCCTTCTTCCTGCCACTCTTTTCCTGAATGTGTTTGTAGGTTGTTCCCTCTCTCTTCTGGTCTGGGGCCTTTCCCCAGATGGCATATACCAATTGCAATGGCCAAAGGAGTAATTCCCACTTCCCACACAGGAGTAAATGCTTCTGTCTTTCCCAGTTAGCTTATTTTCTTTGTTTTGTGACCTGAGCCAGTGATGGAAACCAGGTGCAGACAGCAAAGAGGCCAGCGGCTCTGCTTCCAAGTAGGTCTTTTGAATGCTTCCCAATGGGACTATTAATAGAACAGTGTCCTTTCATCAATATGCTGCTGAGCTGTTACTTGCCCAAGGCCTGCTAAATTATTGGGGGGAAGCATGGTCTGTCCTGTAGATTCAGTGAAGGTTTATAAGCTGAGCATTATCTCTCTGCAGCAGACCAGCGTGAGGCACAGGCTCTGTTTTGGTCCCATTTAAGACTTTAATGCACGATTTGAGTCTAAAAAACACAGGGAATGCCTGTTCTTTGTTGTAAGGCTGAATTCCCCCCAATAGTTGCAGAAATAATAATAGTCAGATGAAATTGGAAAGAGTGATAATAATCTGCCCATTAATCCTTCAGTGAAACCTCGAGTGGAGAGCAAAGGCAGAGCGCTTGGAGCGCTTGCAGGCAGGGCGTTTGTGAGGAGTACATCCTGTGAATATCCCTGTGTGTCTGACAGCATGGAACTGCAGCGGGGCGAGTAGCAATCCCATTCTCTGCTGGCAATCCCAGCCAAAAAGCTATAACAGACAAAGCACTTGGTGTCATTAGAGTCACACACCTGCGAAACAAGGTGTCATTAAAAAGAAACACCAACTTGAAAGCAGAGGTGAATTTGGAAGGACTGTGAAAATCTGCCTCAGGAGAGTTTTTTGAAAATGAGTAGGGGAAAAAAATTGGTATGTTTCAAAATGAATGGGAAAATAAATCATGGGAGTAGAGACAAGCCAGCTGGTGAAAGCCTTTCCACACAGCCAAGATGGTCTCAGCATTGCTGACAGAGATGATGAGGTGCTTTAAATTTCTATTACAAACCTCTGGGTGGAGGTTTGGCTGGGGACGTATGTCAGTCCAGCCTGAGGATGAAATTAGGGCCACCTGGCTCCAAACCCATACCAAATGGAAAGGCTGCTTTGAAACTTTACACTGGTTACTAGGAGAGGAAAGTGTGATATTCTCAATAAAATTAGAGCATCTGCTACACCTGTAGAAATCTTAACTTATCTCCCTCTTTTCTCCTCTGCCCTCCTCCCTTGTTCTTCTTCAAAGGTTGAAAAAAATGAGGACGGAGACCAAAAGATTGAGCAAGATGGCATCAAACCAGAAGATAAAGCTCATAAGGCAGCCACCAAAATCCAGGCCAGCTTCCGCGGACACATAACGAGGAAAAAGCTCAAGGGAGAGAAGAAGGGAGATGCCCCAGCATCTGAGACTGATGCCGCCGACAAGAAGGAGGAAGGCCCTGCCGGCGGAGCGGCCGAGAACAAAGAAAGCGAGGCTCCTGCTGCCACAGAAGCAGGCGCCGCTGACAGTGCCCAGCAGGAGGAGGGCAGCAAAGACAGCAGCGCGCCAGCGGAGGAGAAAAAAGGAGACGGAGCCGCCGACACGGGCTCAGAGCAGCCAGCCCCACAGGCTGCCACTCCCGCTGCCTCCTCGGAGGAAAAGACCGCTGCTGCCGCTGCCCCCGAAAGGGAAAGTGCCACTAAAGCTTCCACTGATAACTCGCCGTCCTTGAAGGCTGAAGAAGCCCAAGACAAAGAGGAGCCTAAACAAGCCGACGTGCCTGCTGCTGACACCACTGCCACCACCACCCCTGCCGCAGAGGATGCTACTGCCAAGGCAACAGCGCAACCCCAAATGGAGACAGTGGAGAGCAGCCAAACCGAAGAGAAGACAGGTGAGTGGTGCCTCGCTAGGGAACGGGCCTTTCCAGAAGTGGATACCTCCCTCAGTCTCCCGGGAGCAAGAGCTGGTGTGGGGACTAGATTAAGAGTTAACGAGGGAATCCCCTTGCTAGTCTTTTGGGGCGAGGGAGATTAATTTCTTGCTTAACACCCTCTTTCTTGCTTCCAGTCATCTTTTGGAAATACTGCAGCTCCTGCTGAGGTTCCTGTTCCTCTAGATGGAGGTGCCATCAGCCCTTTTTCCCATGGCGACAGGAGAGTGTCTGCCAGCTGGGAGGCATGGAGGGAGAGCTCCCCAAGCTCTGCATGTGCTAAAGATAGTGATGAACCTTTTCAGTCACACTAGCACAGGCAGCTCCAGTGGGGCAACTTGGCCGGGTCATTGGAGGCTTCCAACTTTAGCTGAAAATCTCACAAGACAAAAGCTCTCTCATACTGCAGGAGCCCTTGCTGGTGAGATGGTCATGGAGTCAAAAGGGTCCTTCTTCCATCTATATGGATGAGATTCTTAGTGCAACCACATCCTAGTCAGGAACATCTTATTATCAGCAGTGCTCATAGTTCCATTCACGCTCGTAGGGTTTCTACTGCATTCTACTTGGAGTGCCCATGCCATGCAAGCTTGCATCAAGCTTTTAGACGTGTCAGCTAATTCAGACAGGGGTAGCAAGAGAATCAGATAGGGAAAGGAAAGATTAAGGGCCTGACAGCTCAGTAAGTGAGGGGAGAAGAGAGGAAGAAGTCCCCTAGGAGATGAAGTCCTCTAGAGAGGAGAAGTCACTCTAGGAGATGTTTGCAGTTCCTGACTGTTGACCAAGTGCAAGTGTGCTTAACCAGTATCCCTGAGAAGGGTTGAAGAGTTTTGACAGGCAAAAGTGGACATTTTTTGACAAACCTATAACACTTACAAGCCGTAAAGAAGAATTCATTATAAATTGTGATGCTGAGCTGAGTAGAAAATGAATCAAAGATCTGAGGATACTCTCCTCTCTTGTTCTTGACCTTTCTTATTTTATCAAAGAAATAGAAGATAAACAAAAAAAGAAAAGATAACATTGGAGATAGGCTCTGCATGAAACTCAGTTAAGAGGCAGTACCAAGCAAAACTGGCCTCCACATTAATGAACTATTCTGTTGTAGAGGGCAGCCTGCATTCATTAGCTTGCTGGGAAAAAATGTTGCATACCACCTTGATGGTCATAAACAGCTTGATGCAAATTCTAGAGAGCCTCACCACCCAGTCTTGTACTTACATAATTTCTCCATAATTTCATTTGGACCACTACTCTTCCACAAATTGCACCTCCCACTCTCCAATTAGGCTTCCAAGCTTTGTAGCTAACCTGGGGCTTCAGGCAAGTCTATTCCTACTCAGCAAAAGTGGACAGATAGGGAAGAACAGATATACAAAAAGACAAATGCTGGGAAAGGAACTAATTTGTGATTTGAGAGATAGGCAAGGAGAACAGCCTTCAAGACCATGAGTCTGAATTGATTGTACATAACTACAAAGGGTTGCTGGTTTTACTTCTCCTTATTTAGAAGTTTCTAGAAATAAGCCTTGAAATTGAATTGTCTAGGTTTGCTTTTTCTTGTCCAAGTCTCCAGTCCTTTGTTCTTACTTTATATGATGAGTTAGATGGCAACAGAAATGTATTTAGTGATTAGTGAAATGTAAGTTGCTATGTTGCATGCTGTACTTGTGTTGGTTGTATACTTGGGCAAAGGTATAAACATCAATGGCAAGAATAGGGCAGTGTGAATCAGTGTTTTGGGGTCCTCTGTACACAGGATAATGAATGCTAATTCCCTGTTATTTAATACCTGGGATGCCTTTTTCCTAAGCTATAATGATTCTGCTTTGAATTGACATTCCATTTTTATTTAGATTAATCTGCTCTAATGGAGGGAGGTAGGACATTTATAGTAGAAAGCTATTTGATTTTAATTTTCATTTATTTTGACTTTTTAAAAAAATAGTGGAACTCATGGAAAAATAGTTTATTTCCACGCAATATTCTGAATCATTTTCAGATATCCTCCCCATGCTCTTGTTGGTCCTAACATCATTTAAACTGGCCAACCATTCATGGACACATCATTTGAAGTGGCCATTTAAAATGCAAAATTTAATATGCATTTGCACGTGATACTATCACTTATGTAAACATCTAGCCAACAGAGGAAGCTAGAAAATCTACAATCTAATATATATTTAAAAATGAGTTTTCAGTGATCGAGTGTTCAAGACCAGTATGTGCATCCATTTGTACTTATTCAGTATGCATGCAGTAACACTCAAGCTTAGCAATGTTTGCAGAAAGCAAACATGGAAGGTGTGTGGCCAGAGTCAAGCTGATAGCCTCTTTAAAATGTTAATGAATATAGATTTTTCTTGAATTCCTATTCCAGTATGATATCAGCCTTCCAGTCACAAACCTGAACAGCTGGCTAAGTGACCCCAGAGTCATCCAAGAAAGAAATGCAAAAAAGATTAAATAGGTCTCCTTGTACATCTCTCTGAGGATTCCAGGCTGTGCTCTGCAATACAGAATATTCCTCTGAAGAGCATCATCACAGGACAAAATTCTCCACAGACAGGAAATTTTTCCTGACAGAAAGCCTGTGTTTTCTTTTTACCATCTTCCTCCTATTAGTCTGTCATATCTTTAAAGCTCTCTGTCTCTCTTGTTACTTACTCTTTCCATAGACTTAAACACATTTGCCTGGTCTCAACCTTTCTCCCAGCCTTTCCCTGGCCTACACAGCACTGTTGAGTGCTGGTGTGACTGTGATGGTCATTCATGAAAGAGGGGACATCTGCCACTTTGGTGCTCCTCCAGCTCAGGGACAGATCCTCTTTCAGCTTCATCTGTCCCCTTGGCCGTCAAAGGTCACCTCTTATAGTTTCTGCGATCGAAGACTGGCACAGAAGTGTGCAGTGTCAGGCTGCCAAACATAAATCGAATTGGCTCCTGGCCAGTGTCACCAGTTGGCTGGTTGCCATGGCATGCTTGGCTGATGCTACCCTGAGGCGTGCCGACCGTGCTGCCTTGGGGTGGTGATGCTCATCTGCCTTGAATTTTACTACAATGGCTGTGTCATGCTATCTGTTGATACCTTCCCTGGTGCAAGCAGAGCAAAAGGCAAGGGCATTTAATTCATACCCAGGAGGGATTTTTGCCTTTATCTAAGGGCAGGGTAGAAAAAGACAGGGTGTGGGGAAAGCAATACCTAAACCTGATAAAGAGCACTGCACAGTTTTTAATGCTTCTGGAGTGGGGAGTGTTTTTTTTGTACCAGTCAGTAATTCCCCTGACAGTCCTCACCTCTCTCCTTGTTACTGAGTTCTACATGCTCTATCTGTCTTTTGGTAATGGCCTAGAAAACGGCTTCAGACAACTGTCCTGTATCCAATGGTGTGTGTTCTGGGACCCAAGGCATTCCCAGTCATACAGTAGGGCAGTTCCTAAACTATCCTCAGTGTATGTAAAAGTAAAAATTAGATGGATTCCAACGTGGGTAAGGCATGAAATGAGTCAGTGGGCTTTGTTCAGTGGCATTGAAGGATTGATATAAGAAGGATGATCTCTCAAACCTCTTCATGTCTTTTGGTGGATGGCAGGAATGCCAACAAGTTGTCTTGACATCTGAGCATCCTTGTCAAGAGTTAGATTTATAGGTTTTCTTCTTATGATCCAGCTTTTAGCTCTTTGGTGTTGGTATTATGCTTAGATAGGCTCCCTCAGATGCCAGCCTACTCAACAGGACCGAATCCAAAAGTGATGGGGGGAACTTATACATTGCATATGGATGAGGAAGTGAGACTTGTTCTAGTCGTGGTTGCATTGGCTTAAAGCCAGAGCGTCTCCATGAAGGTTACTGGAAAGAGTCTGGTAGTGCAGCTGTGAAATGAAATCAGCATCCTGCACAGCAGACTATGGAAGAAGAGGAGCTATGATGTCCTCCCGAGGAGGAGAGGAGGTGAATGTCACACAGTTTTAGATTCGATTTGTACTTTTCACAAGTTTTCAAGTCTCATCTCCAGATTGGGTTGGCTCTCACATCAAAGCACTCCCAGATTGTCAGGTAAGAATACAAAGCCCAGAAATGTGAAAGAGTAAATTGTGCCTAAGGAAACAAACGGATTTTCTTTTGTTGGGCAGTGAAGAATGCTTTTCCTGCTTCATGAAATAGCTTTACAATGGAGCAGCTTCACAGCTGAAATGAAAAATCAGCCAGGTGACAAGCGCTTTGCATGTAAGTGGGCTAGCAGTTCCCTCAGGGCCCTGTATCCTGCAAGGAAGGAGCACTGGGAGGCACCATCTTCCCTTCACTTCCTCAGAGAGAGCAAGTCCCTATGGATCCTTTTTCATGGTTCACAGTTGAATCAGTTCTTTGTTTTCAGTTCAATCCCCATATTGATGGAAGGACAATACTTGCTGCACTTTGGGAGCACTGGCTGTATAAAGATTTGGAAAGGGAGTCTGTCTATTGTCTTGTAGCAGCCAGAACGTGCAACCTGCACTATGCAAGAGGATTGCAGCTGTGTGGCTTGGAATCTCAGCTTTGGCTCACGAGTAGCTGGCATGAGGCAAAACAACCTCCCAGCCATTCCTGTTCGAGGGAGCTTATCTCTGCTGCTACACCTGGTAGCCAAGGAAAGCAATGCAAATACAACAGTCTTTCCATGACTGCCCCAAAGGGAGCAACTCCAAGCAACCATGGCAGTGTTTTGTTTTTTGTTTTTTTTTTTTTTTTTGTGTAGTGCTACTCCAGCAACAAAGTAAAGACTATATAAATGCAGTTTAGATTACCTGACACATGCTGAAGTATGAAGTCTGTGTCTAGTTCCCAGTTGCTTTGAAATTTTATTCTTTGCATTGTGTCTACATGGGTATAAACATTGCCTCTTTCATAGCTGGGTTTGCATTGGTGCAAACATCCATGTGAGGGGCAGGTTGGAATGTCACAATTTTCTTACACATAACCT